TGCATCGACAGGTATTTCCCTAAGGGAGAAGAGTGAATGCTTTTAGTGATATGTAACATTGTCAAATTTGACAACTTGTACTATTGCTTATATGTATAAAATAGTCTGAACAATGGCATGGAGAAATAGTGTATTACCAAAGACTTGCATTTCCTGACAATTTTTTTTCTTTCAAAATGTGACTTTTCCTTATAATTTTCTTTGTCATTTGTATAAAATGATGAAACATTGATTATTTAAGTACTTGGACATTTGTGCAACTGCTGTTTTAAGGTTGATAAATTATTGGTTGTACAAGCATCTCAAATTTTTTTTTATAAAACCCTGCTGTTGATAGCATACAAACATTTAAACACCTCTTAATTTTTTTCTTTATTTATTTTATCAAGATAAAACATGCATATTTTAAGTCATTGAAAGAATATTTTTAAAATTATAATTCAAAAAAGGTGTCCTGACCTACTTACCAATTCTGTTCCATAAAGGCAACCGCTTATATTGTTTTTATAGATGTCTTCTAGTATCTAAACTAAATAGCATGTATATTCTATTATTACTAGATAACTCAATTTTAGAAATTACCAATTTATTTTCTATTAATTAGATGGGCATTTAGTCATATTAAACTTCTAATGTCTTACTTCCATTAAAACAATCTTGAGCATTTAAATATATGTAATTAAAAATGTGTGTTCTAAAATGAGATTACATTTTAACATGCTTCTTCATCTATCTTGAAAATATTTTTAGAGTTATAGCTATTTTATATAAGTTATAGTAAATATAAGATGCAATACAACTATTTCATAAGATTTTCAAAGACTTCTGAGACCTGCTTTCCTACTAATCATTTAGTTTAACTACGAAATTCCTTTTTAAAGCAACTAGCCTGATAAAATTTCTTTAAAAACTTTTTGCAAGAGAAAAGCTTCAGGCAAAGTGATTTTACTGACATAAACTCTGACAGGGCATGGACTCATACACAGACTTACAATCTTCTCTCAGAGTCACTGTAACCTGCACAGAGAGATTGCCAATCCGTTCATCATTCCTGTGTGTTCTTAAACTGTAATTTAAATCTATTTTTGTGAATCCTAGAAATTTTATTTTAACCTTGCATAATTCATTGCTGACAAAAATACCATTTAGCATACTTAATATGACCCTGGCAAGAAGAAAGATTTGAAGTTTTCATGGCACTCAATTTGAATATTAGGTCAAGATGCTTTTCACTAAAGCAGTATTTAAATATTTGATTCAACATTTGATTAATGTCTTTCATTATGCTCGAGCACTGACTTTAATAGAGTGACTTAATTTAAATAAAAGTGACTACTCAAAATGAGTAGTGTTTAAAAATGCAGGTGATAATGAAAATGAACACTGAAATTTGTAGGATATTACAAAAGCAATGTTCAGAGGGAAATCTGTAGCTTTGAATGCTTATATTAGAAATGAAGAAAATGATAGCCATTTCTCTAAGCTTAAACATTGAGAAGCTACCCAGAAACCCTTAAGAAGCCTCTTGGAATACCTGAACACATCTCGCATTATATTGCAGTAAGCAGGAAAGAGTCACATAACCAAGCCTAGCTGCAAGAAGGCTAAGAAATAAAACTTCTAGCTCACCACTTGGCTACTGTAAATACAACTGAGATCCCTGTGAAAGGAGAAGAGTAGAATAAATACTGGTTTGCGATTTGCAGTCTCTGCCATATAGCTAATGCAGAGATCACACCTAAGCGTCCCCCTAGGAGTATCCCATTAAGTGATCCTCCCCACATACATCTACATTTTCCTAGAAAAAAATACTAAAAAAACCTAAAATTGATAGCTTTCTTTGAGGAATGATTTAAGGCAATCCACAGCAGAATAGGATAATACTGTCTACTTTGCTTTGGTTAAAATTAATTTATTTAATCCACAAATATACAGAACACATATCATGTCAGCCTTGTAATTAACTAGTTAGCCCATATAATAAGGGGTAATATGCAAATAGACTGAATGGCAGAACAATCAAAAAACCAATCAAAGCGTAATCTATACTAATAAAAAGGGTAATATGCTAATTAGACCGGGTCGACTAGACATCTTCCGGATGTCCAACTTCCTTCCAGACAAAGCCACAGTGGCGGGGCCCGAGACAGAAATGGTTAGGGGCGATCAGGCCAGCGGGGAGCAAGCAGTTAGGGGGCGATCAGGCCGGCAGGGGAGGGCAGTTGGGGGGCGATCAGGCAGGCAGGCAGAGGCAGTTAGGGGCGATCAGGCAGGCAAGCAGGTGAGCGGTTAGGAGCCAGTGGTCCTGGATTGTGAGAAAGGTGTCTGACTGCCTGTTTAGGCCTGATCCTTTAGGCCCAATCCCATGGGATTGGGCCTAAACCAGCAGTCGGACATAGACCAGGCTGAGGGACACCCCACTCCCTGTGCATAAATTTTGTGCACTGGGCCTCTAGTATGCTAATGATATGCTAAGGCTGCTCATCTGCTCACTATGACATGCACTGACCATCAGGGGGCAGACAGTCAACCAGTCAACTATGTGCACTGACCACCGGGGTCAGATGCTCCTACCATTAGGTTAGGTTGCTGCTGAGGTCTGGCCGATTGGGTCTGAGTGAGATGGGCCGGGCATACCCTGGAGCCCTTCCCAAGTCCCTCCCTGGCTCAATCTTGCACTGGTGAGGTCCCTCAGCCTGGCCTGTGTGCTCTTGCAATCTAGGACCCTCGGGGGATATCGGAGAGCTGGTTTCAGCCTGATGCCACAGGCCACTCCCCCTGGGAGGGAATCAAATGCAGGGCACATGGCTGGTGAGTGCTGCTGTGGCAGCGTGAGCCTCTCTCAACCAGGACTAATTGGGCATGAGTCCATGGCAGGCACACTGGGGCCAGGATGAGCGGGAGTTGCAGGCGGCATTGGACTGTGGGTTTCGGCCCGATTCTTGCAGGTCACCTAGAGGGACCCCACGTGTGCACGAATTTGTGCACTGGGCCTCTAGTCTATAATAATCTATAATAATAAAAACATAATATGCAAATCAACCTAATGGGAAAACAGCAAAGCGACCATTCGGACAACCTTCCAGATGACCTTCCAGATGAAACCGGGGCTGTGAGGGCCAGCCAAGGCAGCTGGTGCTGCGAAGGCCTACTCTTGCATGAATTTCCTGCTTTGGACCTCTAGTTAATAATAGAAAGAAAGCAAAAGGGATGCTAGACATTATAAGCATGGTCATCTGGGAAACTTCTCCAGGGAGCTGCAACTTCATACTCCCCAGAGAACCACAAATCCATTCCCTTGAAAATCACTGGGGGAAGAGGTCCAACAAAGGGGAGATGGACACATGTTCGGTAAAGTTGCAGTGACATAGGGAAGGTATTTGTCTGTCAGTCTAGCCTGGAAACAAAGATAATTGGCTAGAGGTGGTGGAGCCCCTGCAAATCTACAAAAAGTTGGGGACACACTATTCCAAGATAAAGGCATTATCACTCACTTGTTCCTCTTTTATTCTTCTGGCATTGTTCCTACTTCCTTGTTCTTACTGATGTTTCCTCCATAGCCATGTGGCAATGAACTATAGCTGAGAACACAAGCTAAGCTAGCCTGATGATGGACTGGACTATATAAATTTTAAATGGAAACTATGGGCAACAGCTTTAATTTTAGCCTTATTGAAAGGCTTCACAGCTAGTCCACAGCTAGATTTCTTTAAAAAATATGTCTATCTCTATCTCTATCTCTATCTCTATCCTTATTGAAAGGCTTCACAGCTAGTCCATAGCTAGATTTATTTAAAAAACATGTCTATCTCTATCTCTATCTCTATCATCTCTATCTCTATCTCTATCTCTATCTCTATCTCTATCTCTATCTATCTATCTCTATTTCTATAGCTATATATATATTCATATCTCCTCTATAATAAAATCCTAATATGCAAATCAACTGAACAGTGGAACAACCAGTTTCTATGACATGCACTGACCACCGGGGGCAGATGCTCAATGTAGGAGTTGCCGCCTGGTTGTCAGTGTGCTCTCACAGGGGAACACCGCTCAGCCAGAAGCCAGGCTCACAGCTGGTGAGTGCAGCATGGTGGCAGGTGCCTCTCCTGCCTCTGCTGCAGGCAGGCAGTAAGGAGCAAGGGGTCCTAGATGGCGAGAGCCTCTGACTGTGAGAGGGATGTCTGACTGCCGGCTTAGGCCTGATCCTGCCAGGTTCTGGACATCCCCCGAGGGGTCCTGGACTGCAAGAGGGCATAGCCTGGGCTGAGGGACCCCTCTTGAGTGCACAAATTTTATGCACTGGGCCTCTAGTGTTTGCACATATATATTCAATTTTAGAGACAGAAAGGGAGCTATCTGTAATACTTTCAACAAAAAAAGATAATTTTTTTAAAAAAGCAATTGCTTGATTTTATACAAGAGCTAGTCCCTGGTGTCTATACAGACTCAGTCAAAAAATGCTTTCTTCTTTCTCAGAAGCTATTATAAATGTTTGCAATGATCAGAAAAGATTTCATGTTAAAGGTAGAATGCCTATCCCATGTAATAAAAGAGAAACATGCAAATTAACTGTGCCTCTGTTATGCTCAAACCACGCCCACAAGCCAATCAGTATGCAAATTAACCCAACTAAAATGGCGGTGGCCATGGAGCTGTAGTGAGCAGGAGGCTTGGGTTGCCCCCGGCAATGGAGGAAGTCAAGCTTCCTGCCTTCCCTGGCAGGCCATGGGCTCCACTCAAGGCTACAAAGTTTCAATTATAGAAGATAAATAAATCCCAGAAAAAAAAAAAGAAAAAAAGGAGAGGCTGGGACCTTGGGTCACAGGGGGTGTGGCCAGCCTGAGAACAGCAATCAGCCCCTCACCCAGACTGGCCAGGCACCCCAGCAGGACCCCCCTACCCTGAGGGGGCTGTGGGCAGCCTGAGAATGGCTGTCAGCCCCTCACCCAGGCTGGGCAGGCACCCCAGTGGGGACCCCGACCCTGAAGGGGGTGTGACCAGCTGCAAACAGCCATTAGCCCTCACCAGGCTGGCCAGGCACCCCAGCAGGACCCCCCACCCTGAAGGGGTTGTGGCCAGCCTACAAACAGCTGCCAGACCCTCACCCAGGCTTGCCAGTCACCCCAGGGGGGACCCCCACCTGAATGGGCTGTGGCCAACCTGAAAAAAGGCATCAGCCCCTCACCCGGGCTAGCCAGGCATCCCAGAGGGTACCCGACTCTGAAGGGGCTGTGA